GATGGATGGATGGATGGATGGATGGATGGATGGATGGATGGATGGATGGATGGATGGATGATGGACTGTGTGTTGAATTCATGTTAATGTGGATTTAAAGACATTTCAATTAGTGGAAAAAAAAACTTTCACGACCTCCATGCAGTACCGGCGTTGACCCCTAGGGGTCACGCTCCCCCTGTTGGTTGAACAGTCTGCATCATTACCAACTGATATCTGTTTAGTTAAACTATTAGAGTCATGAAATATTTCTGCTTCTACTGTGTGAAAAGTTCACATCATTTTATTTAATTATAGCTTATGAGCTAAAAATAATATAACCGTGTTAATTCTTTAGTAACTAAAAACAAAGAAGAATTCCATAACTGATAGCATATTAGAGATAAAAAAATTGTATGTACATCAAATTCCTTATTAATTTTTAACCTTTGGACAAAGAAGAATTAATCAAAATGTTTCTTTATTTTTTTATGCACTAAAAATTCTCATTTTAGGATTTTTTTAAAAACACCTTTATATTTAGTTTTCAACACTGAAGAATAATAGAGCGTATACTTATTTTAGCAGATATTTCAAATTATTTAAACATTTCAATATTTAAAAGAAGGATTATGAATAAATTAATTTCAGACCAAAATAATATCCTCTGTATAAAGTTTGATGGTTTCTTACTGCCCAGATTTAAAACATAAATCAGGAAATTGTTCTGTAGTTTAGAGAGGAGGAGATGTTAGATTGAGTGACACCGATTCATTACATGATTATTGTAATTAATAAAGTCAAATAACGTCAAAATAGATTAACATTTTTATATAATTTGTTTATTTTGAAATTCAGACGACTGAAAATATGCTTTTATTCTGAAAATGATCAGACAGGAAGTGTTCGCCCGGTGGGATCAAAGTACCACACAGCCCAGCTTCCGGTTAACTTCAGCCAAGTGGAGGAAACAAAATTACTGAACAAAGGTCAAAGGTAAAGAAAACTGAATTATTAAGGTTTTTAATTTGTTATTAAAACCATAGAAGAAGACGTGAAACGAAGGTGCCTCGAATCAGCTCCTCTGAACTAAAAGCTTTATTTACCTAAACCTCCCAGAAACGCAGCAGGTTGGTTCACCTGGAAAACAAAATGCGTTTGATTATAAACTGATGTTCTGATCATGTCTGTTAGCAGTTAGACATAAACTATAAATCAGCCTGTAAATCAGCCTGTTAATCAGTCTGTCAATCTGTAAATCAGTCTGTTAATCAGGCTGTTGACCAGCTTGTTAATCACCATGTTAGCCTATAAATCAGCCTGTAAATCAGCCTGTTAATCAGCCTGTAGATCAGTCTGTAAATCAGCCTGTTAATCAGCCTGTAAATAAGCCTTTAAATCAGCTTGTAGATCAGTCTGTTAATCAGTCTGTAGATCAGTCTGTAAATCAGCCTGTTAATCAGTCTGTAGATCAGTCTGTAGATCAGCTTGTAAATCAGCCTGTAAATCAGCCTGTATATCTGCCTGTTAATCAGCCTGTAAATAAGCCTTTAAATCAGCCTGTTAATCAGTCTGTAGATCAGTCTGTAGATCAGCTTGTAAATCAGCCTCTAAATCAGCCTGTTAATCAGTTTGTAGATCAGCCTGTAAATCAGCCTCTAAATCAGCCTG